TTGAGCACTCCGTTAGTGAAATTGGCAGCCGTGCTGTGCTGTGTTCCTCTTTTTCGCCAATAGCTAAAGGAAATACAATACAATATTTTTTTTTTTTATAGTTCTGCAAGATAGAACATTTTAGAAGCCCAAATTAATTTGGCGAGAATATTAAAAATTTGAGCGTTGTGTGCTTTAAGCGGGGATGTTTTTTATTGCATGTGTTTTGGAGTACATATGTAAGTACATTATTTTTAAGAGTTTTTTTTCTTTTGTTTTAAGGAGGGTGTCAAAATGCTATGCTTGATACCAGTAAAAAATTGTTACATGCCACTAGCCTAACAGGATTCAAAATATTTGATTATTCTGTAGAATAAATATTTTATGAAGTAGAGATCCAAAAAAAAAAAATGATTATCCTAACATTTAGTAACAAAAACGTCGGCCGTTATTTACGATTTTTTTTCGTCTTTCGTAACAATTATATCAAGACGGAAATGATTTGCGCCTTCTCCCAATAATTATCTGGGACTTTTATTTTCGTTTGTCTCACGGGACAAATATTTCAAGACGAAAATGATTTACGTTTTCTCTTAATAGAATTGGTACGCATATTGAAACTCGTACCACACACAAAAAATTATATGTGCAACATGTGTTTACTCAATTTCTCTTCATTAAATAAGGGTAAAATTATTTGTTGTGTATGCAATTATAAAAGCCTTTAGTTGATATACATATATATTCTATACATTAGTATGGTAATCGTATATAGTTTAACTACTGTTACCCAAAAGAACATTAAGATTAGGGAATTACCTTGTTGACACACAAGCGCTTTGATCCAGTTCGCTGTGATTCAAAACGGAAGCATAAACCAACTTTCAATGCGCTCAGAAATTCAAAAGTGTATTGACTCGAATTTGTTTTCAAATCGCTTTTTTATTTCTCACATCGGTTAGAAAACAGGTATAAAAAAACATCATTCATTTGACGCGAAGTTAAAAAGGCTGCCTTTCTTTACAGACTCCGTTTTCAATTAGAATTATTATTATAACAAATAAGAATTCTTGTTCGCTTCCATTTCGTTCCACCGCGCAAATTAATTATCAAAGAAATATCGAATAAAAATAACAAATTTTTGAATACTTTTGAATACGGTTTCGGCGAGTGCGCTATAAAGACCGAGATATAAATGCTGGAAAGAAATATGTGTTGAGTCAAATCAGTTTTTTTTTTTTTTTTGTTAGTGCGGCTAAGATGGAAAGTTATAAGCAGGGAACGGATTTTTAGGACCTAAAAACCTATAAAAAAGGCAAAATAAAATAACGAAATAGGCTGGAAAAGGCAAAATAAAATAGCGAAAAAAGCAGGAAAAGGCACTAGGTATTGCAAAAAAGGCAAAACAAAATAGCGAAAAAGGCAGGAAAAGGCAAAGGCAAGTATTGCAAAAAAGGCAAAATAAGGCACTAAAAAAGACAGAAAATACGAAGAACAGTCAAAAAATATATTTATTTTAGAAATGTTTATATTACAAGTAAAAAGAGAAAAACTAAGAACTAGTTTCATTATATGAAAAATTTGTACTTTTGAATCTTTGACTATTTTATCCTTTCGAGTTTCTAACTCATAAAACTTTAATCTGTATAGTTGTAGTAACATTGAACCACAAGATGCATTTTGAAGTTTTCTGGCAGCATTTTCATTCGATTTTCGCGAAGAAAAGCCTTGAATGTATTAAATGTGCGCTCGACGTAAGTTGATACAAGTGGAGCCCAATTTAAATATGGAACGTTTGAAACGTTCATATTATCAGGAATAAGGGCGTTTTCCTAGCCCTTTACAATTTTATCCACACCCCTTATTGTCTCCAAGCCTACGTTAGCTGAGAAAACGGCTTTGAATTTTTTCAACACCAATTTGGCAAGAGGTCCCTGCGCTTCTATAAGCCGCATGGGCATGCGTATATTTTTTAATCTTAAAAAAAAAAATTGTAAATGCTATATTCACTTTTTTAAAGGTGAAAAAGGCAAAAAAAGGCAAGTATCTTAAAAAAGGCAAATATCTTAAAAAAGGCAAAATAAGGCAACATCAAATGTGTATATATGGAATCAGGGAAAGCTAAATCGTGGACATTCTTAATCGAATATACTCTATCTCTTTAGCAGAAAAAAAGGCAATTTCCATAAAATCCGTTCCCTGGTTATAAGACTATTAGATAAAGGGTGTATTCGAGCTACAAATAATGCGGTAGTGTTACTTTTTATGAAGGAGCATCACGTTCTACGCGAAAATTTGGGCGAATATGCCTACATCTAGCATTCGTGGAACAAAATTTTTACAATCAGTTGCTTATCAAAAGCATTATAAAAATTTTGACTACATAATTTCTGCAACGTTTCAGAATATTTTCAGTTCAGCATCAGCAACATATCATCAAGAAAGCAAAAAGGCTGCAATATTGCGGTAATTATTACGTAGCTCTAACACACCCAAACTGTCGGGAATTATAGCATTACTTAAAAAAATGCGACTTAGCTTTCCATATTGAGAAAAAACGTTAAATATCTAATAGTATTACAACGTTGAATTCCTACTTATTTCTAATTTCTTGTGTGTTTTCTAATCATTCTCTATTTGTATTCTAATATAGTTGTCTTAATATCCCGTGGCATTGAACCAACTGAAGAAAAGCCCGGAAAGATAACGGGAAAGAAAATTAGCTAAACAACTGGTGAAATAAACACGACAGCAGAATNACTTTTCTTTGAAATCGCTTTATTAGTTCTCGTGCAATAAGCGTTTTTGTGAAGCTCTAAAAATTACAACTACAACATTTGAACATAGCCCCCATACCTTAAGGTAAGACGTATTCTACGTCAAAATTACCTTAAAATACTATAGCCTATGGAAATAATAAGCTTAGCGGTCCTATACATACCCCAAAGAGTGGCCCAAATAGCATATCCAAATGCATGTATGTATGTAGATTTTCAACACAATAATCACATTCATTTCAAAGGCTTATTGTTAAATTATCAAAACAACCAATCAATACAAAAATAATATAACGAAAAATTTTGAAAAATTATAATTCCCACTTAGTCAATATCCACATTGGCGCCCATTCCTGAGTGACATTTTTGAAAACCGATCTGGAATGGTGACTGCAAGCATTGCATTCTCTCAGTTGTCGCAAGTTTTGAGGCGTTGCTTCAGCAATACGAATTTTAAATATTGCTCAGGCGTTATGTATTGGACAGTGGTCAGGGCTTTGCGGTGGCCATTTTAAAATAGTAATATTTTCCTTGCAGAGAGATTTCACAACCTGTTTTGCGATGCGGATATGCGCATTGCTCTGCTGGTATACACAATTGTTGTAGAATATAGACATCAGCATTCGCTTTTCCTTCTAAACGATTATATCATCGGTAGGTTGAGCACAGACACATCCCCATACCATTAAACCTTTACCTACTACCTTAACGGACAAAGCGCTGGCTGCTTTACGTCATACGTGAGTATTTGAGCCTTTGTACAGATTTGTACATTTTTTATATTGGGCTATTGGTACAAAATGAAAAAATCAGGACAATTTTTTTTATAGTCACACGATTGAAACAATACAGCGAACTTCTATTCGAAAATTTGAACAAATTGTTTTTCGTGATTGGGATAAAGAAAAATATTTGCGCATTCACACGTGCAGCGCCCGCTCATGCTTCCCACAGGCACCAAGCCTATTACGAATAGTGTATACTGGTGGAAGTCTTTACTTACGTGTAGCAAGTTTGAGCGAGTTTTTTGTACAGATTATAATGAACTGGCTTCTGATATTTCAAGAATTCTCCTATCTAATCTTTCAGTTATATTAGGCCATCCTGGGGTTGGATTTTGTAACTGTAAGAAAATGTAGTGTACACCGAGTGCAAAACTCACAACCAAAAACACACCGAATAAAATTTAGTGATTTTTTCGGAAGAGAAGTGTACACAATTTTGACAGTTAAAACTCATTCTCATATTTTCTGAATAGCAAAATGGGGAAGTGTACACAATTTTGACAGTTAAAACTCATTCTCATATTTTCTGAATAGCAAAATGGGGAAGTGTACACAATTTTGACAGTTAAAACTCATTCTCATATTTTCTGAATAGCAAAATGGGGAAGTGTACACAATTTTGACAGTTAAAACTCATTCTCATATTTTCTGAATAGCAAAATGGGGAAGTGTACACAATTTTGACAGCTAAAACTCATTCTCACAATTCCTGAATCGCAAAATGAAGAGTCTACATAATTTTCAGTATACACTTGAAAAATTACAGTTACAGAATCCAGCTCCTGGTCTCTATTTTGCAGAAAATCTTTTTTCTGTGCAAGATTTCCAAAATCGTTCTCTAATTTAACGAAAATTATTGCCGAAATTAACGAAGATTTATTATTGGTCTGCGTTTATAGGCTGTGCTTAAATTTTCTATTTTTTTTTTAAATCTAACAGCAATATTAGAAAATGTGTTAAAAAGTAAATAAAAATATAAAGGCAAGAAATATTACCTCCAATTTATGTAGGCTGAAGCTGTGGAAAGTACTATTTTCATGTAGAATTTGTTAACACGTGGTTGTTCTGGAAATTTATTTTTTCCGCATTTAATAATAGAATTACTCAAATCTAAAAGTACCGTTACTTCTGTGAGAGAGTAACGGCTATAAACTTCTCTCATGGTCACCTATACCAGTGCCTTTCAGAACGAGTATGGTTAGGAAGTACTCTAAATTTGTATGGTTAACCCACAATCCTAAAATGTGTAAATACATGCGCTTGGAAACTTATTTTTTCACTTATTTACATATGTACTTAATTTACTTATAATTTTAAATCACTAGTATCAAGAAATACCATAAAAGACCTTTCTTCAAATCTACTATTCAAAAGTCATACGTTTTTCGTTTATAATTACAAAATTTACTCAGTACAAAAAAAAATAAAAAAAAAAATAATAATCGGGCTTTTCACTTACCTTTTTCGCACTCTTCTCAATTTCCTTTTCAAAATCCGTTAATGGTGTTAGCGTTACGCTGACTTCTTTAATCATATCTCTAAATGGACTGAAAATACAAAATAAAATTTTTAAAATAATTTTCTTTAACTATGCTCCATCAGCATACTTATTTATTTCATCCAAAATGCTGGTATTTGATTTAGAATCAGCTTTGCGTTTTTTAGCCACCGAGCTGCCGGAGCTTTTGCCGCCACCGATGCTTGACATGCTACCACCAACACTGCTCCCAGAGTTCGTACTCAAGTTGGTGGCTGTATCCATGTGCGAGCCGCCAAAACTGCTATTGTCCATGGCGCTGGCGTGCGAATCTGCATTGCTGGCACTGCCACCAAATCCACTGCTGCTTACTACGCCAGACGCACTACCCAACTTAGACGACTCTTTGCCGCCGCTGCTGTTGCTATTCGAATTGCCACCGCTGCCCATACTCATGCCTGCAGATGAAGTTGTTAGATTTTGCGCAGAATTTTGAGCGGACATATTGCTGCTATGGCCGCCGTGGTTATCATGCATTGAGCTGCTCATATTGAGCGCTGTGCTAGCCGATGTTGCGCTTGAGCTGTTAGCAGATCCGCCACTGCTGTTATTAGAGAAATCCTTATTTTTAGACGACTTCGAAGACTTATCACGCGCGTCACGCGATGATGATGATGACGATGAGCCATCTTTTTCCTTGTCTTTACCTGAACTTGATATCTTATTTAAATTTTTAATATGTTTATCCTTTTCCTTATAGCTGCTCGAACTGTTCGAGGAGCTCTTCACATTCGATGTGGAACTGGCGCCCGCACCGCCACCCATTGAATTGCCACCGGTAAGCGTGGAGTTACTAGCAGACATATTGCCGCTACTTGTGACACTACTGGAATTAGCGCCGCCGCCTCCCCCGCCACCGCCTAAGCCCATATTGCCAGATGCAGTGCTAGAATTCGAGAGATTGCTGACATGCAAGCTGCTGGAGAAACCACCGGTTGAACCGGCTGCTACAGCCGCACTTGATGATGACAATGATGAATTCGATTGCTTTGAGGCGGTAGACGACTTGCGCTGCTTCGTTGTGGAAGCAGCATTCATATTAGTGGTTATTTTGATGCTAGTCGCCGAGGTGGACGAAGCGGTCGCATTCATGGCGGCATCGAGTTCCTTCTCCGGTGACAAACTTGAGTCAGACGAAGTGTCGTGTGTAATGGGTTTATATGGCGGTATAGTTTTTACATTGCCACCTTTTTTCTAAAAATCACGCGAGGAGAGAAACGTTACATTTCTAAAGTTTCAAAGTATTACACAAACTTACCAATTTTCCATAGTGGTGTTGGCAGTAGCCACAATATTTCACATTATCCAAGTAATTGCCTGCCTCCTCACACAATAGTCCTAAACTCTGTGCGCAAGTCACATGAAATTGCTGTTTGCAATTAGATTTATTGCATTGCATGCAAGCGCCAACTGTGGCACGATTCGGTTTTCCTGACTCTTGACAAATATAACAAGCTGAAATTAGGATTGAAATGGAGGCAAACATTAGCAACTTAACATCATTTGATTGTGTATGCATATACAAACTGACTTTTTGCATAACGCTCCTGCGGTATCAATTGCAAAATAATTGGTTCCATGGTGGTGACATTGCCGAAACGCACCTCTGGGATGTAGAGTGCGCACACCACGTGTGCCCATCCCTGATTATCGGTCTTTTTAAGTGCGCCATCGCGCGACGGACAAAGCTCACAGCGTACACGCGCTGAACGTTCTTGACTTTCACATTTGCGACAAAACCAGGGTCCCGTCGGGACAGTTACAATACCATAACAAGCTTGATGCACGGCCACTGTACAATTCTGACCATCACAATAGACGAGCGGATTTTCGGGCCATCCACGCTCATCCGAACATACACAACATCCGCCGACCATCTCCTTCATACTGGTTAGTTACGATTATTGCAAGCGCACACCCGTCGTACTACACCGCAGCCAACAATGATTAGACAATCAATTATTGAGGGTTAACCTGCGCACCACATAACAGTGAAATTTAGTGTATAAATTATAAAAATAAATAAATTTGCTGATGCGAGGCGTTGAAGAGTGGCTCTCTCATCAACTAAATATCCCTTCGATTTTCCTCAGCGGCGCATTTAGCTTTGATGTATTTCATTGGGGCTGAAAAAGAAGAAGACATTTTGTTAATGAAAGATTCAACTGGTGTAATTGTGATTAATAAAGTAGTAATAAAATGTTGACTAATGCAGGGTTTTAAGTTGCCACTTTTTGCGGCAAGCAGGCGTCTGTTCGGATGCTAGGAACTGCTTACAAAGCATCGTGTTGGGATCCTTAACAAGGAGCGTTTGAGCCTCGTCATGTAGGTGGTGCTGTGGCAACATCAGAGGGCATCCCGTGGAGGTCCGGAGTGCTGTGCTTTGGCATGTCTGTAGCTTTGACCACTGCGTCCTGCTAGTCCCGGTGATCACAGGGGCGCTGTATAGCTAGCGGCTTGAGTACCTTGGTACGGCTCTGTGCTCTAATGACAATTGCGGTTGCATGCGACGAGAAGGAGAGCAGACCATCGAATATAGCTCCGAGTATTTTTGGGTTATTCACCGTCGGAATTGGTTCGCCATCGACATGAACTCCCAGCTGTAGTCTGACCTCCTTCGTCCAGGTAGAAAAAAGGGTTGCCGATAGTTTCGTATGGGAGAGTATTAGGCTCCTTGCAGTGAAGAAGCGAGAAAGTTCGGAGAGGTAACGCTTCGGATCCTACTGATTCGAACTCGCATCGAACCCGACCCTGCTGGGTAAGTCAAAGTAAATTCTATCAGAATTCTACCTCGGTTAGGTGCAACTGATGCAACCTGACTTGGTCAGGCCTTAGATGACAAAGGAAGTGGACTCCACTGTATTTGGTCCTCAATACGCGTAATGCGATGGTGCTCCCCTACACCCAAAAGAGTTTCTATGGCTATACTGGGCTCACCTGAGTAACAAAACTCCCCCTCTTTATCTCCCTTCCCGCTTCAACTCCCGTAACTAACCAGCAGCTCTTGGTTCCAGACACCACCTGTATGTCAGACAAGGATGTGTCGTAATGTGTCAAGTGCAATCCTGCCTTGGATGGTGCCACATTAGAACATATTTTCTGCGTAACACCTGTGAGAGGACAAGCCTCCACCTGGAACATTGTTGCAGACGCTGTCATAGGTAGCCACCCCACCCAAACAGCGCCACGCGCAACAAGAACATGATACATAGATAACTCCACTTAGTCTTTACTATCACAAATCACGAACGGCCTCAGACGAAAATACTCCAACTGATTCAGAGTAAGATTAAAGAGATGTCAGTCTTCATAGGTCGGCATGGAATATCGAAAAGTAGTTGCGATCCAAGAGACGAAGTTGCACAGCTTTAATCATGCACCACTCTGTGTAGTATCGTCTTATCGAAGCAGACAAACGCCGCCGGGATTGCTATCCGATTAGAAGTATTTAACGTACAAACTTATGTAAAATATCTGATGCCAGCAGGATATTACCCTGATATATTTACATAGGTGTGCTCCTCAGAGATGAAACCCGCATGGTAGTTAGTGAGTTCAATGCGCACCAGGATAGTAGTCGGCAATTGATGAGTAATATTTTGAGACGAAACTTCGAAAACGACGCAAATTGAACAGGCGATCCCATAAGATGGTGTGTTCTCTCCTATTTCGTTGAATGTCTATATTTCCAAGGTCCCCCAGCAAGAGAGAGAGTTCTCATATGCTGATGATTCTTCGATTTTGACGTTTAGCAATGACACCTCACGGAGTCTAACCTTCGCCTACGTGAACCATCCCTACTAACTGGAAGAAAGAGGTCAAATTCACGTATATGGCATATCAATTCCGACTGTGAAAAACCTGAAGATCCTAGGGGTCACTTTCGACAGCCAGCAGCACTCTTTCTCTGCGCACACAACCACGAGCGCTTACAAAGTACAGAGCACACAAAAAGTCCCCAAAAAGTTTTGGAGTATGTTGCTGAAGTGACATCCCTTGGCCAGATGTAAATACGAAACGTTCCGGTTACGTAGACCCGGATGTCGTGAGAACGCAACGAAGTCTGCAAGTTGCTCGACGGTAGCACCCGGGGCAAAGACAAAGGGATATTGATGGCCACCGAGAAGGCAATTGGTAGGCCGGTTCTAAACCGCGCTCACCGGGGGCTAGTAGGGCGTAGTGGACGTATGTAGGTACAGACGTCTTCTGGTGTCACCGGAGCAGGGAAGAGAGTACAGAATGCAAAATGGTTGGTTTTAAAAATGGATGTGTACTTTATTCGCTACAAAATTTTTTTACCAGCTCAGAATAGATCTGTTAAAGTTCTTGTTAGGCGTCGCCCGCTCTCTCGGCCTCAGGCGCGCCTATTCAGAGAATGAAGAGAACACAACTTGACGTGACACCTGTTTGGGCTAAGCACTGCTGCAGCAACAGTTATGGTTAATCGAAGATTTACATATTCTATGATCAAAGGTGAATTGTTTGCGGTAATGCCATTATAAATGCGCATTAGGAAGTAATGCAGATATTCAAATGAATTTATTCAAAATAAAACCTCCAGTTCCAATTCATTTCCAATTCCCATTCACAATAAGTTAGCAAAAAAAAATATATATATAATAAACGACTATAGTACTTAAATTTAAGCGGGGAATCACGTGCTGTTTGCTTGTTTTGATTTGTAAATTTATTGCAAAATGCGTATACGACGACCAGTTTCAGTATTTTTATTTACTTATTTATTTATGTATTTTCATTCACTTATTCGAAAAAAGAGAGAATAATAAATGCAAACAAATGGCAATCGTTTGAGTGAAGCAGCAAAATGCGTTGGCGGTAGAGGCAGTCTCGGCCGGCAGGCAGGCAGCCAGGCAGTCAGGCAGACGAAGGCACAGGCCATAGCGACGATGTGCGGATGTATTCGCAATATCAATGTCAAGGTGAATTGGGCCAACAGCAGCGGGAGCAGCACAAACAACAAGTTCTATATATGTACATAACATATATATTTACATACAAGCGATGTTGTTCGCGGCTGTGAAGTGGTCGTAAAAAAACCATAAAATTTGTAAATGGGACAAATAAGACACGAGAAAATAAATAAAAGTTAAATAAAATAAACGGAACGGTGATACTTTTTTTTTATTGGGAAAGCGAATTTTAGGTTTTCCTTTCTTTGATAATGAAAAAACATTGCTTGGCTCATTGAAAAACTCTAAAGCTAATCTTCGTATATATTAACAGGCTAACATAAATTTTGTCCGCCTACGAAAGGTATTCTTCTGTAAATGACGAAAGATTTTATGGTTTCAAAATTATCTGAAAAATGTGGAATACCAATACGACGATTTAGATGAACAAGAGGGCAAGGACGATTAGGAAGACGATTAAGAAAACGAATGCGAAAACAAATACGAAAACCAACACGAATACGAAGACAAATAAGGAGTTGAAAACGAAAACAAATACGAACATGAATATAGAAACGAATACGAAGAGGTATACCAAGACGAGTTCGAATACGAATAAGTAACGAAGACGAAGATGAAATATGAAGAATACGACGACGAATACGAAGGGGATTACGATGACGAAAACCAATACGAGTTGAGTTCGAAGACGGATACGACGACGAATTCGAAGATGAATACAATGGAGAATGACGACAAATACGAAGTGGAATACGTATAGTAATACAAATACATTCCAAAGGCGAATACAAAGACATCGACTAAAGCGAACACGAAGGTAAATTCGGAAAAAACAAATACGTTTTAGAAGACAGCGACTACTTATAACGAAGTAGAAAAAAATCTTCGGGACCCTTAAAAAACAAGAAAAGCGACCGAATTTCGCCAGTAGCTGGCACTCCTTGTTAGGGTTTAATACTCTTTTAAATACATATAAATAGTGCAAGATTTGCTCCATTGAGGTGCGGAGTTCGAAATTTGTGTACCTTATGTCGCTTGGTGAAAAGAATAAGTTCGGGTTTGGTGGGGTTAACCCCTAGACCGTTTCTTTCTGGCCCACTCTGCCAGATTGTTAATTGCAGATTGTAGAAAATCGCTGATCGTCGGATCCCATGATCAAAATGACTAAGTCATTCACATATGCAACGTCCTTAGTGTTTTTCGATTTGCCGAGGTTCCACAGCAGGGGAGATAAAACTCCCTACCACCCTTGAGGGGTACCACGTGTGGCTGTTTTCCTTACTTCTGCTGTTCCTAAGGAGCCATTGATGCTTTTGGTACTCAGCATATTGTCGGTCCAGAGAATGATCGGGGCAGTGTAGGGACGCCAAACTTACAGTGCTAAAGGCGCCTCCCACATCCAAGAAGGCAGCCAGCACGTGTTCCTTGTTGTTTAACACTTTTACTTTTCTTTACTCCCAACAACCCCGTGCAGGGCTGTTTCACCCGACCTACCTTTACGATAGGCCTGCTGGGCCTCGCTGAAGTTCTCAGGAATAAGGCGTGGCGAGATATGCAGACTCAGATACCCCTCCATTATTTTGAGGAGAAATCATGAGTGGCTGAGGGGTCTAAAATATTTTGCAGTATTATGGCCCGTCTTCCCTGCTTTCGGAATGAAGTCCGCTGAATAATCGTAGATACTAATGTTAGTGTTTGCACACAAAGGGCAGGGACCTGCAGTTTTACGCCGAATCCGAACGGCGATGGTATTTTTATGAGAAGCTATTTTTCATGGTATTGAGAAAGGGCTTACATCTTTACTGCGGACTTCAAAAGTTTGCACAGGGTCAGTAACAGGCTGGAGTCTATATCGAGAAGATAACTAGGATAAATTTAACTTCTCCTTCGGAGAATATTCCTGTTGAGGTATTTGCAAACCTCAAGGCCAAGTACTAGGTGGTGGAAAATAGCTGGAACGGTAGTAGTTTACGTGGCTGTAGCGACAGCCAAGCTGCACTCAAGGCAGGGGCCAGCTCTTTCCAACTCAGTTCGACAATGCAAGCCTCAGCTAAATTATGTTGGTAAACATAACAAATTTGTTGTACGCTGGATGCCAGGACACAAGTTAATACCTGGTAATGAGACATTGGACTCTTTAGCCAGTTATATCACTCCAAGCTTCGGCCGTCGAAGCCACCCTCAGCAATTGGGTG